ATATTTGCTGCTATCAAACTTTCTCGTTTTTCATCTCTTATTGATTGGCCAAGCCTATAGTGACACTAATAGTCTGACTTCTATTTGGTATGGAATGAAACCAAACGATTTCCACTTTCACTTTCCAACGAGAATTCATGTCATTCTGCGTTTCTATTGGTCAGAACAAGAAATACACATTAAAGCATGTACTTTACATTTAGTGTACACATTTAATCACCAAACATCGTTACAACAGTTTCTCACCCTTATCTCTAACTTTATATCTACCTTTGTTTGAACACATATACATGTATATCTGCATGTTCAGTTAGATTAATAGTGCCTAATAATTTGTACTTTGATAACTGATTGGTTTCATTAATTATTTTGATAACAAATGTCTCCCTGGGGATACATGAAACAGTTCAAATTTTTGTGATATGTAATGATCGACTGAAGATACCCCGCTAGAATAAAGAGAATGGTCTCCATGTAATGCATTCTAACAGTTGGGTGTCTCTTTACTTGTGAATATGTTGCCGTGGGCTATAGCTGTAGAAACCTACTTCTAATTACCTTAAATATGTGCCATTACCCATAATCCTTTGTGCTTCCCATGATTCAACAGTGCACATTACCATTACCACTTAAAATACATTAATACCTTGCTGACATTACTCTATCATATTATGTTTTGTGTTTAGTTTCTTGACCACTTATGTCATACTCAAAATTTGCGTATTAACTGCAAAATAACACAGTAAGCTTTGATATTAGCATAAAATAACTGAAGAAAACCTGCCAGCAAGGCTGAAAATTACAACTTTGTGCAAGTTAGATGTACACATTGCTCCACACTGTCAACTAGTCGAAGGTTCCATACCTCATTGGCATCATGTGGCTGTTCTGTATGGCATATATCGCTAAATAAACTCTTGACATTTTACCTGAAACTTTTTTTTTTGATTCAACGTTTCAAATAAATAACTTTTTTGGGAACTTACTTGAAAGAGATATTTTGTTTTGTGTCTCAATATCTTGGGTATATATCTACATGTAGTTCTAAAAAAAGCTGAGCGAGAGAGTTTATGTTAAACAGTATTATAGCAGGAATATAAAGGCAACTCAGTTGATTATTTAATAAGGCTGTGTTTATCTGTAGTTGGATGTGATGTGCTTTTAATCCCAAAAATAGCTTTTTGTTGATTGTTACAAATTCGTAACGCGAAATGTACTGTAAATAATTGTTATAATTAGACACATAAATGTAAGTTGCGGACAATAATCATTAAAATCGATCGATAACCAAATTAAATATTGTGCAATGTTTTAATTTTGCTTCCAGTTTTTATGACTCATGTTTTGGGGGCATTTCACGAAAATTTAAAAAAATAATATAATTCTCACTACTTCAAAATGTGGCAGTTTCCTCTGATACACCGAATTGTATTGATGAACTATCATGCACAGAGTTACTGTAAAGGGGGTAATTATTCACTGTGTTTTAATTTAGCTTATTTCGCTGACTGGAAAAATGCGCTAAATTAAAACACAGTGAATATGTAAAATTTAGCATAGAACACATTATCTAAATGACGAAACCGTGAATTTAAAACCCACTGAATATGCCTGAAATGGTAAATCAGTGAAATTTAAACCCAGTGAAAATTAGTCATTTTACAGTATTCTGATATTTAGAATTTGAAATATCAGCATTAGGTTTTTATAGTGAGATGGTCATCATGCTGCACTTGTTTGAATTTCATATAGTGTATGTATCTGTTGTATACATTGCTATTGAAACACACATTGAACACAACATAGCGCAATGATAACAGCTTTTCTCAGAAAAATGTGTTTGAAATTAATTTAGAATTATTGCATCATGCTATTTATATTGCATAGTTATTATTAGATCTCTAACATAAATGTCATATTTTACTTTGTTCCATGACAAGCCCATCTTCAAATAAATATAATTTTTTCCAAAATGTTAATTTTAGTAGGATTTTGAAATTGTACCAAATTACACTGATCTATTTCGCTACCTGTAAATGTGGTTATAATTTTAAAATAATTTAGAGATCTCAGTTTCTAAAGAATTCAGACATTCAGAAAATATCCTTGCAAATTTGTAAAGAGATTCCATGTCAATGTAGATATAACTTTGTTTGCTTTGGTTTCCTTGGTAGGCTGATGAATAACCACTCATCACATGAATGATACAGTTTGCATTTACAAATGATTTAAAATATTAATAGTTGGAAATTTATTCCACTGAATGAATTAAAGTCAAGTATTAAAAAACATTTGACATGTACCAGTATTGTGTGTTCTGTCGCTTCATGTTGTTACCTGTTTATAACGTTTTTTTTTTTGTCATTTGTGTGCCTGTCACTGTCAGTGCAGATGTCACTCACGCCACTTTCAGGCGCTATTGTGTATTTAAATCCCGTAGAGTAGAAGCCACTTGAAGTATAACAATTTCTGAAAATCATAAATCTGACAGCCAAATAATGTGCACTTGTCAGTATATTCTGGGTTTTCAATATCCGATGTTTAGAGATTATTAGTTTTGTTTATGGTTTAGAATGGATGGCTATTGATGGGTTGCTATGCAACCACTTGCGATGTATTGCCGTGGGAACATATCTGACATGCTGGTGTCATGATTTCTACTTCATCCTGTTCACCCTGCTGCACCAATGTAAATTGTGATTGGTAATTAAAAAGATAAGAATCTCATAATCTTTTGTTTGTATCAGCATTTCTTATGAGAGACTTAAATATGCCAGCCACTAGATAACAGCGACAATGGCACTGACTAGAGGCGTAAACATGCCGGCCACTATTCAACACGCACAATGGCGCTGACGAGAGGCGTATATATGCTGGCCACTAGTTAACACATACAATGGCGCTGAAGAGAGGCGTAAATATGCCGGCCACTAGTTAACATGCACAATAGCGCAGACGA